AACAGTTCACATCAAAAAATGATCTTTGTTAAAGATTCATTAAAAAGTAGGAAACACTGGGAAATATTTCTCATTCTAGGATGGCTTTTCCCGTTGGTATATGCACACGAAATTGTCAAGTATCGGATCTAGGATATTTAGGTAACTTCTAGAAGACTTAACCTTCAAACTACTGAGTTGACGTTCAATGGTTTATATTTTTAACTTCAATTTGTGGTTGAAAATAATAACTGTCAAGTGCTTACTAGTTTCCAACGGTTTCGTAACTAGGGCTGATTCTTGATGTAAGCCGTAAAATTCAAAAGGATTTTTAATTGTTTCCAAAAGGTATCACTGTTGACTTATTTAACGAATATGACAATTATCAGTGTGAGGTTGTGGAGATTATTACGTTTTTGATTGAGATCATGTGCTGACTAGTGGCTAGATTTATGAGGGAATTCTACTGTATGGGGCGGAAACACGGAGAATTACGAAAGTCATCATCCAGAAGATAAAATTTTTTATTAACAGTTGTCTAGGCAAAATACTTCGGATCCATTGGCCAGACACCATCGGCAACAACCTACTATGGGAGAGAACAAACCAGATCTCATCAGAGGAAGAAATCGGGAAGTGGATCGGACACACACTGAGGAAAGCGCCCAACTACATCCCAAGGCATTCCCTTGGAATCCTCAAGGCCAAAATAAAAGAGGAAGACCAAATAACACATTACACCAAGAAATGGAGACAGACACGAGAAGAATGAACAAAAATTGAATAGAACTAGAAAGGAAGGCCCAGGACAGAATGGGTTGTAGAATGCTGGTCGACGGTCTATGCTCCACTGGGAGTAACAGGCGTAAGTAAGTGAGTAAGTATTAATGTATGAAGTTTCCGTGAATGATCAAATCTTGAACAGTTCACATCAAAAAATGATCTTTGTTAAAGATTCATTAAAAAGTAGGAAACACTGGGAAATATTTCTCATTCTAGGATGGCTTTTCCCGTTGGTATATGCACACGAAATTGTCAAGTATCGGATCTAGGATATTTAGGTAACTTCTAGAAGACTTAACCTTCAAACTACTGAGTTGACGTTCAATGGTTTATATTTTTAACTTCAATTTGTGGTTGAAAATAATAACTGTCAAGTGCTTACTAGTTTCCAACGGTTTCGTAACTAGGGCTGATTCTTGATGTAAGCCGTAAAATTCAAAAGGATTTTTAATTGTTTCCAAAAGGTATCACTGTTGACTTATTTAACGAATATGACAATTATCAGTGTGAGGTTGTGGAGATTATTACGTTTTTGATTGAGATCATGTGCTGACTAGTGGCTAGATTTATGAGGGAATTCTAGTGAGAAGCGATGATCGGTGGAGCTAATCCATGTTGGGTATAGACAATGATCCACCTCAGTACAATGGAAGATGGTTGCGCAATTTCGTGGATTGGTTGATATTAGATATTAACACCATTGAATGTCAGCTTAGTGGTCTAGAGATTGAGTGTTCGCGTGTAAGACTAAAATCCCTGGGTTCGAATCCCGCGAGCGCGATCGTAGATGCGCACTGCTGACAATAGGACAAAAAACGGCCGTCCAGTGGTTTCAGGTATTCAATAGTGGTCTACCATCAACTAGTTCATGATCTCAATCAAAAAATATATATGTACATACATATGATAATGATTATTAACTATAAAAGCTTACACATTATTAAATAATATTGACTATGAACTGTTTTCTTATGTAAAACGTTTTCCTTTTTTTTTAACTTTACAAAACCATCATTGATTTAAATAGTCGTAATTTCATTGTTCTTTTACTCCCATAGAGTTGGTGTTAATTCTATCCAGTAACTAACCAATCAAACTGTTGTTACTAAAACGTCCATTATGTCAATATACTGTGATATGTCTATAGACTATTCATGTTGTATATAATCTTCCAATTGAAGAACATTACTATCCTATTATATAAGTATGATTCATAATTTTTTTATTCATTTCATAGAAGACATACAATACTGGTCAGTATGTTCGTGCATTTCTTTTAATGATTAGAATTCTTTTATATTAATCGAATGGTTATTTGAACATTTAGTAATAGATTAAGTTTAAAGCTATGAGATCGCTAGTAACATAGTTACAATGCGAAAATCCTATAGTTACATTAGGTAAGTTTGTTATCTTTGTATTATCATGTTTTACTGATTGAAATCATGAGTCAATTGAAGCTAGATCACCATGGAAAATCTGGAAGCACTGAACGGCCGTTTCGTCCTAGTATGGAACTCCTCAGCAGTGCACATCCCATACTAGGATGTAACGGCCGTCCAGTGCTTTCAGGTTTTCCATGATGGTCTAGCTTCAATTGACTCATGATTTCAACTAGTGAAATTTCTAAAAATCTCCACAAAACCCATTCTGATAATAATTATCATGTTTATTATTTATTATTTGAAATATTCAATATAACCCTAATTGTAATCAAGATTTTATGTTTGATGTTAAACTCATCAATTACCTCTTGATGACATCTTTCTTTAGAACTACACAATATAGTCGTTTCATCATTGATCAGTCAGATTGATTAAGCAATCAACAACAACAACAAACACTCTAAAATCATAGATGTTTGATCATTTAAGGAGCTAGAAATGCTCAACGTCTGTTAAAGCTTAATATTAACTTTTGTAGTGTTCATTGTCCTCATTGAAACTTACAGTAGTTGAAATCATGAAACAATAAAAGGCAGACCACCATGGATAACCTGGAAGCATCTTGGTCTAGATTCAATTGACTCATGATCTCAACCATTGAAATTGCTATAATATCCACAAAAACCCCTTCTGATATATTTATATATATGAGATAGTTGATCGAAATCTCTAGACCTAGATCCAATGTAACTTGGTACTTATCATCAAGATATCCTTGTAATAATGAAGGGTTTGTTTTTCCTTGATCAATTCTATTTCATATTACTTAGTTTCATAGCTTAAGATGTTACCATTATGCGACACAATATTTACGACTTCATAGTAAGACTACAATTTATAGACAATCTATGAGTGAGACAAAAAGTAGTAACCTTGAAAATGTTCATAGTTGATGGATTAACATGAGGAATTAGTTTTATGGTTTTCATCATGGACTAACATCAGCTAAATGGTTAAATGAATTTCGTAACAAATTCTAAGATTTATTATCCTTAATCTCATTATAATCTCATCAACTTCACTTGTCAACCAACTGAGTGTTTCTGGGCAAAACGTTTGACATATCACTTATTCTATTAGCTTATATCAATCCGTGATACACAACGTTATGCCAGACACTCGTGTATGTGTGTGTGTGCGTATATATTTACAATGTCTCAGTAGAGAAATTCCTTCCTTATACATCATGATATCTATTGAAGTAATTGATCATCTCAATAGTTAAAATCATGAGTTAACTGAAGCTAAATTACTATAGAAAATCTGAAAGCACTCACTTCTCGAGAATCGAACCCAAAACTTATCGATCTCTTATGCACAAACACTTAACCTCTAATTAACAATCATTTATTCAATAATAAATTTTAACAGTTTAGGGGTTGTGGACATTGTTTTTATTTTTTGATCACGATCATAAACCGAGTGATGTTTGACCACAATTGAAAACCTGGAAGCAATTAGTGCTTTTGATAAATTTCCATAATGTAATAAGAAGACGAAGATTACCAGAACTATGTGATGATATATTAGCGTAATACATTTCGAACAACCTGATCCCACATATACTTGTTAAGAACATTTATATATAAAATTAAAAGGTCAACTAGACTGGAAATGCGGTAAGATGAGACAAGTATAATGTGAACACAATTTGAAACCTAATCACTCTGGATAATAAGTCAATATTACCAAGGTAGGTTTAAGGTAAGAACAAACTGTTTTTGAATGCATAAAGCGGGTTTGAATTTTCGTATGGCTAAGGCTTCAATAAAACCTTAGTATATACCACTTTTATACACTTCTATACAACACCACAAAAACCGAGTTAAGATCAATCTTATGACCTATTTCGATTATATATTTAGGAATAGAGGATGATGGATATTTATCCTCTACTCATATTGGGTCACTTGATTGTATTTGTTTCTGTAACCATTTTAGTACATGTTCACATACCTTAATTTTGAGATCATGATTACTCCTTCCTATGTGTGTGTGATCAGATTGCTCGAAATGTATTACGCTAATATATCATCACATAGTTCTGATAATCTTCGTCTTCTTATGACATTATCAAAATTGATCAAAGGAACTAATTGCTTTAAATCTGTATATAATTAAATGTTCTGATGATATAAACATCAGTCATAATAACCTCTATCTTTGTGTTATTCATTCTCTTACGAAACATGAAGTCAATTAACTTGAATATTCTATTTAAAACATTCAATTGAACTGATACTTTTAAATGATAATAAGCATTTATTGGAAAGAATATTTTCTCATTCATATATTGGTGTATTGAGATAGGAATTGTTCAACAATTAAAATGCTATAATTGATAAATTCAGATTGAATAGGTAATAATCATTAATCATCTAGCTGTATTACTCATATTAACTTAGATAAATGAATATATATAATCCAATTTCGTGGATAAGTTGAAGTTAGATATTAACACCATTGGATGCCTTACATCTCAGTAGTCTAGAACTTAAGCGCTTGAGCGTGAGACCAGTAGATCCTTGGATTCGAACCCCGTGGGGCATAATCGTGAATGAGCACTACCGTTGAGTGCTTCTAAATTTTCCTAGTGGTCTAACTTCACGAATCCAATCGTTGAATATCGTCTTCTTATTACATAATCAAAATATAATAAACGTTTATTTTTTTTAAAAAAAAAAACTTACTTATTATGTAATATTTAAACAAATAAAAAGATTCATCAACATTAAAAGCTCAGATCAAATAGTGAATATACAATAATAATGGATAAAGAATTGTAAGCTTTGAATGATCACTATTACTATATGTAAATGATTGTATTCAAATGTTCAATACTGATTTGAAAAACATTTGAATTTTAACGGTATTTTCTTTTACTATAAAACAAGAAAAAAACAACAAACGCACACACACACTCAAAAAAAGTGGATGAATTAAATATAAACAAATGAGATAATTATTTTTATGAAATAGTTATCACTATGGTTTGATTGGTTGATAAGAGAAACAAAATAGTGACTTTTTGTTTCAATGAACTCAATTATTTTGTTTGTTTGTGTGTGTGTGTGTGTTTTGTTTTAATAAAATGAATTAGATTCATATGAATTATTATGTTAATATATATAACTCATTGATGGACAACAGTAATTAAAAATGATGCATGTATAGAAACTACTATTACTATTAGGACCACTACTAATATTACTTCTACTATTACTACTGTTAGTATTAGTTGGTGCTATTACTACTACTACTACTACTACTACTACTACTACTACTACTACTACTACTACTACTACTACTACTACTACTACTACTACTACTACTACTACTACTACTACTACTACTACTACTACTACTACTACTACTACTACTACTACTACTACTACTACTACTACTACTACTACTACTACTACTACTACTACTACTACTACTACTACTACTACTACTACTACTACTACTACTACTACTACTACTACTACTACTACTACTACTACTACTACTACTACTACTACTACTACTACTACTACTACTACTACTACTACTACTACTACTACTACTACTACTACTACTACTACTACTACTACTACTACTACTACTACTACTACTACTACTACTACTACTACTACTACTACTACTACTACTACTACTACTACTACTACTACTACTACTACTACTACTACTACTACTACTACTACTACTACTACTACTACTACTACTACTACTACTACTACTACTACTACTACTACTACTACTACTACTACTACTACTACTACTACTACTACTACTACTACTACTACTACTACTACTACTACTACTACTACTACTACTACTACTACTACTACTACTACTACTACTACTACTACTACTACTACTACTACTACTACTACTACTACTACTACTACTACTACTACTACTACTACTACTACTACTACTACTACTACTACTACTACTACTACTACTACTACTACTACTACTACTACTACTACTACTACTACTACTACTACTACTACTACTACTACTACTACTACTACTACTACTACTACTACTACTACTACTACTACTACTACTACTACTACTACTACTACTACTACTACTACTACTACTACTACTACTACTACTACTACTACTACTACTACTACTACTACTACTACTACTACTACTGCTACTACTATTACTATTAGTATTATTACTAATATTGCTACTACTACCATCACTATTACTACTATTACTATTAGTGTTATTACTACTAATACTATGATTTATATTATAAAAGTACCAATAAAAAGATAATGTAAAAGATATGAAAGCAATATACTACTGGCATTAATTTTTACTGGATGTTAAGTATTATTAATTATATTATATAATCATTGTTACTAATCAAGGAAGAAAATATAGAAATAAGAATTTATTTAATTTTTAAAAAAAATAAGTAGAGTAGATAGACTGTGTAATCCAAAATGCGTGTTTCTTCGTCATTGAAACTTGTCAGCTAACATCGTAAAGTTCATGTACATCCATAAATCGTTCACTTTAAATGTTAGTACGTTTTATGTCTTACTTACTAAGTACAGATTGTCTATGGTTTGTATGATGGGTATTAATTTTTAACTTGATTTAAATGGTATGTCTAGTTGACTAGTCATAAATTGGACAAAACGTACGATCTGGATTCCAATGTTACTGTGTGCCCTGTTAATGATACCGCCAATTAGAGAACAGTGAATTATCGATTGGACCATTGAAGCATAAAACTCGTGCGAGCAGTCTAGAGTCCTTATCGATCCTGCTTACCACCTAGCCCAGCCTGTTCAGTCCAGAACACCAATCTCAGCCTCTGCGATATGAATCATGTATTTCAAACATACTGGATTTATATACCAATGAGACAGACCACATCGTACTAATTAAATAGGAAACAATATTTGTACAAGATTTGGCTAAATGTAGCTGTGGATATGGGAGATAGTGATTAATAGATAGAGAATAACGTATAATAATGGTTCATAGATAAAAATAAAGCTCATAATAAGAGGAACACTAATATGAATAGTTTAGTCATTTAACAATTATACGATAGAAATATACGCATAGTATTGGTAAATAAATGGGTTCCAAAAGTTACCAATCATTATTCTTATCGGGATATAATAGTTATATAAACTTTGTCGCTTTTATATAAATTGATGTTGTAACGGCTTTGTTGAGAAATTTTGAAGAGGATGTAAATATCTAAAATAAGACAATAACAATGGAGTGATCTAAACCATTCATATTATTACTAATAAGCCCAAGAACTTCAGTTTTTGGTCTGAAGTATAACATTATCCAACCATTGAGACCATCTCGATTGATTTAAAGTTTCCGGTATTGTAGATTCATAATTGTAACCTTTAAGGTTCTAACACTTATATTTGGAAGGAGAGATTATTGTAATTCTCATGTCGCAAAGTCACAACAGGAGACTAATGTGAATGAAAATTTAATGACCCTTCACTACAATGACTTTTATACATTAAAGATTTTAAGTGGATATCAGGGATATATATTTGGAAAAATCAAAAACATCTCTCTAGTAATTCCTAGTTTCAATTGATTGTCTAACTAAGGTCAATCATAGATGAAAACAAAGATTTTTTTAGACGTGGTGAATTTCATCATTTAATTCACTGTGCTTTATCATTAATTTAATCAGTCGGAGTAAAAGTTCGAGTTATGTGAAGATATTATAAATGATTAGTGTTGTAGTTAGTCAATTGGTGATAATGTATTAGGAGGAAATGGATAAAGATTTTAAGTAGATTAGAATTCATCACTCACTATCACAGTCAGAATTATGTCGGTTGAGTTATTAAGATCTACAATGACTAACTGTAGGACATGTTTACACTTACTGATTATAAATTACTAAACACTGTCTTGCTGTTACAATGTGAGCATTCAACTAAACGTCTCGACATCGTCGGACACTTTAATTGTTATTGGGAGGTATGAAGTTGGTGGAGTTTTGTTCTCTGAGCTGGATGGTTTGGTCGTGGAGCTTTCATCGTTCTTCTGAACGACATCATCAGCACAAACTTCAGATAGAAGTGAAGTGTTTGAATTTCTCCATATGTGTCTCAAAGCTTGTTCTGTGCACCTCAACGTTGATTGGTTCTTATTGACCTTAAATTTGTCGTTGTTTACTTCTTTGTTTTGGTTGTGTCTCCCATTGTTTTGATTTTTGTTCTCATGTTTGTGCATGATTTTTCTGATTGGTTGATAAATTGGATTGATTTCAATATGCTTGTTGATTGCTGATTGACCTGAGTGCCAGGCTTCTAAAAATTATCTGGTGTTTTTGGAGTTTCCTCTGTCTAAGATTTCCACATTTTTCCAATCGAATGATTGTCCGCAGTTGTCCACGTGTATTGATATAAGTGGAGAGATATCATCAAGTAATCGGCAAGAATATATAGTTATTGACTAAATATTAAATTATTTTAGCTTGTAAGTGACAAATCTATTAAGATGGTGGTTAGAGGTAGACGGTACGTCTATCTTGAAGTTGGTCTACGTAAACCAATCCACTGGATTTTCACTGTTGTCGATGTTTCTATACCAACCATTGGTACAGACCTGCCACAACATCGTAATTTACCCATCGACACGCAAGCGGAGGCCAGTAGACGGAAATACTAATCTATCTGTTTGTGTAATTTCTTTTTCTGGTTGTAGATTGTCCCCAGTCACAGTAAGGCACACGATCGATCCATACCGCCAGCGAATACTCGATAAGTACCTCGAGATATACCAAACGCAACCGAAATTGTCATGTGTAACCAACAATGTTATATATCGCACCACGACTAACGGACCACCATTATTCTCGAAAGCGCGCCGACTAGCTCTTGAAATGCTGAGGTTGGCTGAAATCGAATTCGACTATATGATAGATTTGGGAATCATTCGGCCACCAAATAGCACACGTGCATCGCCCTTGCACATGGTCCCTAAAATAGACAGAAACGACTGGCGTCCAACTGGTGACTATCGTCGATTGAATGCGAAAACCATTCCTGATCGTTACCCATTGCCCCACGTTCAGGATTTGACTGCTGCCTTTTTCGAAAACCGACTTGGTTAAAGTATATAACCAAATTCTCATGGCTGCTGACGACACTCATAAGACCGCTATCTTTACTACTTTAGATCTCAACCAGTTTTTGCGCATGCCATTCGGCTTAAGAAATGCTGCACAAACTTTCCAAAGGTTCATCGATGACATTTTTCGAGTTCTCATCTTCGTACATGCGTATTTCGATGACTGCTTGATTGCATGTCAGAACAGAGAACCTCATCTCCAGCATAACTACAAAAGCACGCCATTACTGTAAACATTCAGAAATGTCAAATCGGCACCGACTCCATAGATTTTCGCAGACACTATAAATGCTCAAGGTATCCGACCTCTGAAAATCAAAGTGGCGGCCACTCTGCATTCACCAGAACCAGCCACAGTCAAACAACCATGCACTTTTAAAGGCCTTGTAAGTTTCTATAGACGGTTCATACCAAGCTACGCAGCCCTTATGAAACCTATAACCAACCAACTTCGTAGAAATGCGAAATCCATCAATTTGGACGGTATCACGAGAAAAACATTCTCTACAATTAAGGAACTTGTCGCAAAAGCTACTATGCTTGCAACCCAGGACACCAAATCAACAATTAGTATCGCAGTAGATGCATCTGACTCGACAATCAGAGGAGTCTTACAACAATGGGTTAGCCACACGTGGCAACCTCTGTCATTCTTCTCAAGACGGTTGCTATACGCCGAATCGAGGTGTAACACAGTTAGTAGGGAAATTCTAGCCATTTATTGTGCAGTACAGCACTTTCAACACTTTGTTGAAAACAGAGAATTCACTCTTTTTACCGATCACAAACCTCTTAACTTCTTTTTGAGCTCATCTTCAGACAAGTACCCTCCTTGAGAGTCTCGACAACTGAACGACGTTTCGCAGTTTACTTCAGACATCCAACACATTTCTGGTGCAAACAATGTAGTTGCAGACGCTTTGTCCTGTATAACTTTCTTGAACAGTTTTCCGGGAATCGACCTTTTTAAACTTCCTCAGCTTCTAAAAGAAGACACTGATCTTCAGCACGAGTTATCCTCGACAAATCTGAAACTGCATATTGAATAGACGGAAACAGGTAAGGAAACCATACTATGCTACATATCTACATGTAGGGATCGCCCAATCGTGCCGTAACATTACACAAACTTTCTCATCCAGGTGTTCGTGCAACCATCAAGCTCATAGGGGAACGGTTTTGCTGGCCTGGTATGAATAAAGACTTGTTGGAGTGTGCACACTGCCAGAATTCTAAAGTGATTAGACGCAACAAGGGTTACTTAGGCTCTTTCGCAACTCCTGATGCTGGTTTCAACCATATTCATTTGGATTTGGTAGGACCTTTACTAGACTCAAACGGATACTCTTGGTTCTTAACTTGTGTAGAACGTTTCACTCGATGGCCAGAAGCAGTGCCCATCGATGACATTACTGCTGAAACAGTGGCCCGCGCCTCCGTCGGACGATGTATAGCAAATTTTGGATGCCCTTCAACTATCACAACAGACCGCGGACGCCAGGTCGAATTTAAACTTTTCCGTTGTCTGAACACATTATTAGGAATCACTCGCTCACGAATGACCGTGTACCACCCACAAGCAAACGGGTTGGTAGAACGTTTTCACCGACAACTAAAAGCTTCAGCTGCAAACGTTTCACAGTAGACCGACGCTCTTCCACTCATCTTACAAGGTATTCGCAATGCAGTAAAAGCTGACATTGGGTACACTGCAGCTCAACTCGTTAATGGAACGACACTTCGACTTCCAGGAGAACTCGTGAATCCTTCATCCTCTTCAATAAACATGAATCTAACCTCATACACGAGCAGGCATACAAACGTAATGCGTTCAGGTAAACTTTTTTTCCATTCGAGCGCAGTCAACTGATGTTTTCGCACAACCTACCATACGATATAGTGCACACGTCTTTGCATGTCGCGACTCACTTCGACGACCTCTTAAAACAGCACACGAAGGACCCTTTCAAGACTTTTAGCGCAAACCTAAGTACTATATGATCGATTAGAACAGAACTAACCATTCTGTAAATATCGTTTATACGCTATCGCATGTGTTTGAATTAATCTTCTTTTTTTTCGCCCGCATTGTGTCCTTACGCACATACGAGTGTGATTTAACATGCACTTATATATCCTTTTTTCTC